CACTTGTTTAGGTAGAGGTAGTATTTTATTTTCATATATAACTTTAAGGAATAACAATATATATATATATATATATATGAAATACAAATTTAAAATTGATAGTCAAATATATGCTAATCACAACTCTCAATTTTCCATGAGCCCAAAGACCCCACTCACTCGGAGAAAAAAAAAGTCGTGGGAACACTCTCAATACTCAATTATGTTCTTCCCTCACCGATCAATTAATTTGTAGAAAGTTAAAAAAAAAATATTAATTTTTGACAAAAATTATGTTAAGTTATGTTTTTAATTTTTAAAAAAAAACTAATTTGAATTGAATACATAATTAATTTAACATTAAAATATTATATTTGTTCCATATAATTTGAACTTGGATTAACCTAAAAGATTTACATTAGAAATTATCTTAATTTTTAAAAATCAAACTATACATTTTAACCTACAAATAATTGTTGCTTAACAAGAAATCAACTTACTCAGAGATAATTATGAACAATCAATTAAGGAGACATTAATTCAATGAATTAAAAATCTCAAACACGGCCCACCAGATATATAATAATTATGCTAATTAAATCACATCCCCACAAGGAAGACCTTCAAAAGGCTTACCACTCTCTCTCTCTCTCTATATATATATATATATATATATATATATATATATAGTTCATATGTCCAAATATAAAAGTGAAAATTATTCATAAATACATTATGAAATTACAATATACGATCATCAGCTTATAAACACAATGGAGGGATCACAGCAGCACTCGTCAAGCAAGCAGCAGCAACACAAAGCCGCCAGACTGCAAACACATACATACAACACGTACTTAAAAACACCAGCTTATATATATAGACACACACACACACACACATATATATATATGTAGATATGTTAGATTTTGTGATTACCATCCTTCAAGGAAACCAGGCTCTCTCCTGGGTGGCGGAGCAACATACTGAGGCGGCGGCATCACTGGAGGACCTTGATAGTAACCTAATTAACCATTTCGTATCAATATAAGTTTACACCTCTCATATTACTTTACATAATAAAATCAAATCTATTGCCAAACAACCCTAGATGTTAATTGATCTACCTAGTGCATTAACTTCTTAGTTTCTACCCAACAAAACCCTGAATAATTTGAATTCAGAAAGCAAAATGAGTGGAAACACAGGAACTATCATCTACATATACATCTATTTTACACATAATATGCACATATATATATATATATATATATATATACCTTGAGCAGGATATGGATAAGCATACTTGGGATCACTCATAGCTGCAAAACAAAGGTGGAGGAGATGATTTCTTGTTTAAGCCGGAGAGGTGTAGAAAAGAAAAGCAGGAAGCTGCCTGAAACTTCGTGAAGAAGATTATTTTTTCTTCTAGGGCTTTGAATTTTATACCTAAAGATACAGACACCAATTATTGCCAATATCACCTTTTTTTATAAACATTTTGAAATTTAAAATTTGGTTCATTAAGTAAGTAAAATTTATACATAATATGCATATATATATATATATATATATATTATACTAATAGTAAACCATTCATTTACCCTACTTTATTTTCTTAAAAACTATGCTTTAAAATTATTTACTATTTTAATTGACCATAATAAGATAAATTATTTTTATTATACACACATTAAAATATGAACTGTTAATTATTAAAAGAAGAGATTAATAATTTATTATTAAATAAAATTAATTGAGTGAATTATATTCTATTGATATTTAATTTATTTTAAATAATAATATTATTAAAAATATTTACAATACAAAATTAGAATAAGTAATCAGATGATAAATAGTTTGTGGGGTCCATGACAGATCAGCGAATCGCACTCATGCATACCCTTACTCTGATAGTCGGTTTCTATTTGGGTTTTTTTTTTTTTTTTTGAAATTTGAAATTTGAAAAATATAATTAATTACTGTTTAATATTTATAATAAATTGTAAATTTTAATTAAATATTTAAAGAAATTAAGAGATGGTGCATGCAGGAATAAAAACTAATTGAAGCAAATTATCAAATTCTTCATTCCCAATTTGCATGTACATTCAAATGTATAAAAATTTAGAAGTGATTTAATATTTAATTTATTAAGGTTAGAAAATTTTTAAATTAATATTTAAAAATATTAATTTCAATATATATATATATATATTAGAGAAAATTATTATGGAAAGCTACCAAAAAATAAATTATTAATTAATTAATGGAAAAGAGAAAAATTTTATGTTATTTTTATAGAATTGCTGCATCATCTTCTGCCATTGGAGTGGTTGAGATTCCTTGATAAAGTCTTGTTGATCTTTTGCTTGGCCGGCTACTTTTACACCCAAGCTGAGATCATGAAACTGCCTTACATTTATACCCATTCCATCATATGATTTGTCGTCAGGCAATACATTTATGAAACTGTATATGTATTTTCATATTTGAAAAAAGCTGTTATACTTGCAGTATGTGGGTAATTAGAGTTCTTCTCTTTCTGGTTTTTTCTTATATAACCAAGTTCATGAAAAGCTCAAATCCATGTAGATAAATAGAATCAAATGGGTTTTTCTAATTGCATCAGAACACATCTCAAGTCTGAAACAATTTGTTTTGCTTTTATTATGAAAAGAAATAATGATAATACATACAGATTACACAATGATACAATTGCCTCTTTGAATTCAAGATAGCATCAATCAATTTCCACGGAAATAAAATGCTCCAGATCGCCCACCATGATAACATGGTTACCGAGGGGAATTACCCTCTTCCCGTACACATTTGCAATGCTAAGATGTTTACAAGGATCAACCATAATGCTTGTTTCAGTTGATCTGTAAGATTTAGTATGAATACGGTCAAATCCAATCAGCTGTTTCTCAGGGGTGCCCTCGAGATTTTTAGCTACTTTAGAGAACAGCATTACAACATGGCTTCCATCCATTTCCCCTGCATTCATCACAGAGATTCCTACAGAGAATCGCAAAGAATCACAAGATTTTATCTCATCAACATTCAGGTAATTTAGTTGTTCTCCTCCTTGTTGTAGCATATTCCTAGTGGAGGTTCCCGTAATGAATCTTAACAAATTTAGTTTATTTGGTGCCGACAGAAGTTTGTAAGTATAGTTAGTGTAGCTTAAGCCTTGTCCAAAACCGTAGACCCGAGGTCCAGTATAAAACCGATAAGTTCTCCCTGGGTACCCAGTAGAATGATTAGCTCGCATTCGCATGTCATTCATGGGGACCTTTGTGAATGACTCAGGATACCAAGTCACTGGAAGTCTTCCCCCTGTTTGTACATACACAGATGCGACATTAAAATACTACATTATCGAAAACAAACTCATCTGTTTTTTTTATTTAGATGCAGAAGATGCTCAAGTCTAACACTATATGATGTTCCAATATGATTTTGTTTCCTTCAAGATGTCAAGATTTTTTTGACAATCCATTCCATCTTTGACAATGATGGATTTACACAACCAAAATCATGAAAATGTCTGAATCTTGATGTTCTTTTCCAAATTATATGGCCTGTTATACTAGCAGTTCAGTGAATACCAACCTGGATTGAAGTCTCCAAAAATGATTTCAGCAAGTGCTCTTCCACCAGCTTCACCAGGGTATCCAATCCAGAGAATGCTTGCAATTCTTGGGTCTTGTTCAGCAAACAATACATCAAGGGCCCCTCCACCAGTAAGAACTAGAATTAGTGGTCTTTTACTTACAGCAGCAATAGAAGACACCAAACCCATCTGTTTACCGGGTAAGAGAAGGCTAACACGGTCATGATCTTCAGTTTCAGCAGACAAATCCAGCCCAGCTACTACAACTACAAAATCAGCATCTTTGGCAGCCCTAATTGCTTCATCAAACATGGCATCAGAATCACAAGCTACGTCAGGGCAACCAGCTGCATAAGATGCAGCCTTCACATAGGATTGAAGTCCCTCAAAAAGGCTCTTTCCGTCACATGGATAGCCTACAAACCAAGAATTCCAAAGTGGTCATTCTGGGTGAATTTGAAAAGGCTCAAGGAGAGCCCTGCTCATGGTCAGTAAATTTTGAGTCCAGTGTTTGTATTGTCTTGCACTTCTTAAATTCAAATTTTCATTCGGGTCAGGAATGAGATGTATTCAACTTTGACAATCCGATGCACCATCAGAAAGGTTGCAGATAGTAAGCATAAGAATTCCACAGCTATACAAATTATAACTTAATATTCTTCTCTTGGAAAAAATAATGAATTCTCCCAGAGCTACATAACTCGTAGACATAGACGTAAGGGAAGGACAATAGCACCAATTATGATAAAACTGAACACTTATTCCGTTTAATTTAAAAGAACAATTTACCTGAGTAACCACCGCCCAGATCACTTGTTTTGTTTGCCATTGGGCCAATTACTGCTAACGAAAAAACAGCGTTCTTATTCAAAGGCAGAAACTTATTATCATTCTTTAGAAGAACAGTTCCTTGCCTTGCTGCCTCAAGTGCCAGCATCCTGTGCTCCGGGGTGCACACATCCTGTGGTCCCAAATTTCCAAAAAACCCTTCTCTCGGGTCTCCATCAAACAGTCCAAGACGAAGTTGAACCAAAAACAGATTGAGAAGAGCTCTGTCTATCTGCTCTTCCCGCACCTTCCCTTCATCAACCGCAAATTGAGTGTTCCGAAGCATAAATGAGCCGCAGTCAATATCCAACCCTATGTACAACGAGTTCAGGAATGTAAATTTTGAGAACAACACATATTTACTAATCTAAAGCAAGACATGGAAAAGAGACCACTTATAAGAACCTGCTTGAAGAACATCAGCTACAGCATCAGTAGCTGTTTTGGCATACTTCTGATATTCATAAACTGTGGCCACCGCATCACAATCTGAAGTAATGTACCTGCACATATACATATAAGCCTCACAAACAATCAATTTCTCATTCCAGTTCACTAATTTCTAGTCTTACAAACAGTTATTATCATCAATTTTACCCTTGAAACCCCCATTCTTCTCGAGCTTTTTGTAACAGATCTTTTCGAGCACATGCAGGCACCCCATTAACTTCATTATAGGAACACATCAAGCAGCTTGCCTTGGCTTGTTCAATACAAATACGAAATGGTGCCTGAAACGTGTCTTCCATA